AAAGGGGGGGGGGACGGGACGACAGAAAACACCCCACCCTGACTTTCTAAGAAGTCATACCCAGTTTGCATCTGAAGTCCCGAACTCTTTGAACATATGTAGCATCTAAGAGGCCACCAGAAGATGCTTTATTTTCTTTTTTCCATTTAGAAGATGTAATATGGGAAGCTGTGATAATTCAATTCACTATCTTACAAAAAGAAATGTTTACCTGGTCAGATGGCAAATGGTAATGTTAAGCATTTCTTCCTTAGTGCATGGAGACTTGAGCAGTGCTTCAGTCTAGCAGAGACTTGATATGGGTACTTTCTGGCATGTGGTTTCTGCTGTTAACCGAAGTAGAAATGTTTGTAGGCAGACCTGTGTGCACAGTTATTTTCACTAGGTTAGCTGAGGTAAGTACTGACCTTTGCTGTGCAAGTTTTAGAACAGGACACCAATTTTAAGTCAGTCATTCTTGTCCCAAAAACCTTTTTTGCCTTTTCCCTCCTCTCTGTGCAAGTGCCAGTAATGCTGCCCCCGTACAATTCTCCGCCCCCTACTTTTCAGGGGAGCGCTGCTTCACACAGTCCTCCTCTGCCCTGGCAGAGGTGGGGCTGGCAATCAGCATGTGCTTCTCTCTAAGAAATTGTCTTGCTCTGACTGATTCAGTGCTCTGACCTTCAGTAGAGCCACTACTGAGTACAGTTCAAGGCTTAACTGCTTGCTTGTGTTGGTAACCTAGTTGCAGACATTATCAGATGTCCAAAATATGGGAACTGTTTTTTAAAATATCTTGTCTCAGCTTTATGGTCTCTGCACAGGGGTCATATACTAGCCAGGCCTCCCATCACAGATGTGAAATGATCTTCTGTGAGTTTTGAAGATTTATTTTCTCTCTTTTTTGGTCAAGCTTGATGCAGGTCTAATAACACTGATATTCCTGGTGGAACTGACTTGATGGTTCAGTCACCATTAAGCAATCATTTTGATATTATCTCTGAGAAATTAGAAGATAAAATAAAAATCTGAGTGAAGAACTTCCTTGAGAAAGAGGTAAAGAGGTGCTAACTTACTTTGAAACTTATCCAACTGGATAAATTTAAGGGAAAGTTGGCTTTTTGTCAGGGAGACTGATTTTTGATGTTTGTTTACTATTTCATATTTTCTAAGTTTAACTGTTAATTACAAAATCTTAATAGTGATAGTAAGATATATTTGAATAAATAAGGGGTTCTTCTGAGTTATAAAAAAGTAAGGTTATAAGTCATTTGCCTCCCTGTATCTCAAAAATGTGCATGATTGACAACACAATGCCTAGACCTAAAGTTTCCCATGATGGAATTTAATAACAAAGGATTTCCAAAACTGTGTCTGTTTATACTGTCTGTCTAGTAACTATTAGAGTTCTGTTTCTTTTATTTTTGGGTGAGATATAACACCAAAACATCATTGTCAAGTTTTATTTAATACTGTCTACTTTGAAATACATTTTGGGAACAGAGTATTAGTAGGATAGAAAGTTGAGAGACTGCAGTGAGTTGGAAATCACTTTGGTTTTATTGTCAACAAAAAATAAATATGTAAAAAGATTTTCAAATCTCAAATTCTGTTCTATAATAAATAATATTTGAGAGTCTTTCCTTAAGCTTCCAAATGTTTCACAATTAAAATGCTTTTATGTATAATTTATTAATGGAAAAGTACTGGTGCTCTTTCACAAAAATAAAGTGGAGGCAAAAGGTGAGTCTTCAAATCTGTAACTCAGTCTAGCTCTAAGAATAATATTAAAGTATGGCTAGTTAGGAATGTCTTGTCTTCAGTTAAGACCTCAGACACATTTTTAGACTGTTGGTTGTTCTTCCTCTGATGTTTATGGAAGCAGTTTGATTTTAAATGAAATCTGAATTCATTTGAACTGGGATTTGGTTAGTAGGGGAATGCACACTTTTCAAAACTAGTTCTTTTTGTTAAACTAATTTCTAACATTTAAGTCAATGTAATGAATGTATTGTATGTGGAAAATAATCAAGGAAAACAAGCTTAATAATGTCTTTCATCCTTCTGACAGGTTGTGAAGATGAGAAAAGATGTGAAGAAGGCCAGAGTCCTGACTATTCGCAGACTAACCAGACACATTGGGAAATTGAAGTTGAAAAGGCCAGTTTTAAATATCAGTGTTCTTGGTTTTGTGTTTATAAATGAAACAGTATGTTAATTGTTTTCTGAAAAATGGAGAAGTGGGAGAAACTGAGACATGTACTATATTGAATACTTAAGGCACTATAAATGCTATTGTCTTATTTTTACATCACTTTAGATAGACTAAAAATGCTAACCAAAAAGCAGTTTCATAAAGATTAATTCAGATAACATTTTTTAAAAGAGTTTAGAGTATTGGAAATTAATCCAAATTGCTTACAGAACCTTTTACAGCACTTTTTAAACAGTGTCAGACTTGATCTTTTAGATTATTCTGCTGTTGAACATAAGTTGTGCAACACTTTCTCACTGCAGTTGCCTGCAGTGTTCTATAACAAAAAATACTGTGCAGTTTGCATAGATGTACAGGTCATACTTGTTTTTTAATAATGAGTATTAATTAATATTTTAGTAAATACTTAAAACAACATTTTGTAGATTATGTTTTTAAAAATAAGTGGCCTAGAGTAATTTATGACGTATTATTGGAGATGCTGTAACAGAAATCTGTTACTATGTTCAAAGGGTAAACTGAGGCTACTCTTCTCCCACAATTTTAGCAAATTATACAAAATGAAAAGCAAGCCCTATTATCTTTTATATTTAAATATACAGATATTAATGCAATTATATTCGAGATAGCAGTTTCTCCTATGTATTGTTGATAGGAACTGTAGTTACTGTTTTCTAATAAAGTAACATTTGTCTTTCTTACAGTTCTGGTAAATCCTCAATGTTTTCCTCCTCTGTCTGGAACAGTAGAAGCATTAGATTATATTCAACTCTTTGCTAAAATACTCATTTAACAACAAGGGAATATCAGTCTTGTGATATTTTTATTTTGCTATTTAGTATTAGTCCACAGAGAAATAAAGTGAACAAAACCCAGATTTTTTTAATAAAGAGTGACTTTATTTGCAGGGGTTCAGAAGACTTGAAATTAAAGAACCAGAAACGAGTTGAGAGATTAATAGAAGAAATCCATGCCATGAAGGTAATACCGTGTTTGGATATTTAAATATTAGAGGCAGTTCATTTTAGTAACAAAAAGCTTTGTCAGTTTTCTGGGACTGCATTACTAAACCTTAACAAATATTTCCAGAGTCAGCTGGAAAATTATGAATATTTGCATATTTCCATGTTTTCTGCATCTGTCAAGGTGTTAGACAGTTTGACTCTTGAAGCTTGCCAGACTAAACATGAATTTGTTTAGTAATGTGTGGTGCTTGAAGTTTTTACTATAAAAGTTAAAGTGCAAAAAGTTACGGTTCTCATGCTGCTCAGGAATATGGAAGGCATTTTGTGTGCCTGACAATACAGTATCCTCATTGTCAGTTCTCTTAGCTTCAAGTGTGATGCTACTTATATTTTATTTTCAACTTCAAAGTTCTGTGGTGGTTTGAAATTTTAGCTGCAAGGGACTGACAACACTTGATTCAGACCCTTTATTTTCTCTTCAGCCTTGCTGTCAATTGATAGTTTCTGTATTTATATATTATGACACATGAGCAAATGCTTCTGAAATTTTATAACTTGGTGTTTTGTACTAATCATAACCCAGTTTTGACTGATACTGCTTAAAATTGTGTGTGTTGACATGAGGTACAAATTCCAGTCATAAGGCTTGAGCACAAGAGTCCTATATAGGTGAGGAAAACTGTTCTCACATAATATGGTTGGTTTGGTTGTTTTTCCTGTAGTGATTAAAGCACCCTTGGAGGGGGGTGTATGTTCACATTCCAATCTTTTTGGTTTTTTTGTTGTTTTTTTTTAATTTATTTATTGTTGGGGCTTTTTTAAAAAAAAATTCCTGATCCTTGCACAGATCTTAGTCTTCAGAAAATCTGGTAACTGGAAAGGCTTCGTTGACCCATTTAGATGTGCTTTGTGCCAGATTCCTCAGGTGGAATCAGGGCTTTTAAGCCCACCACTTACAAAACAAGAGTCCTCACAAATCATTAAAGGGAAAAAGAAAATGGGCAACACCATATTAAAGGATAAAGCACTGCTCAAGCAACATGACAGTCATATTGCAGCATTCTGCTTTTCTGACTTGCCATTAGTCTTAAACTTGGTTTTGTGAGTGCTCTTTTGTTGTTGATGATGCACATTTATGTATCTGTTGTAGCATGAGAGAATCCTGGAAAAGTGTCTTGATTTGTAATAGTATGTATCAAGTGATCAGGTGTGGTGCAGCACTGAGCTTACAAGCCCATATTTTAAGGGGCTTCTGAGCACGCTCCACTCCCAAGAGGGTTTCACGGCAAGATGAATTCAGCACACATATTCCAGAAATGTTTGCTTTGTCTACACTGTGCTTTTCCTTTCAGGACTGGCTCAGGCAGACATCCTAAAGGATGCCTGCATTCGGGGCTATGTTACATAAGTACATTCAAGTTGTTTCTTCTGTTGGCATTAAGGAGTGCAGGTCTTGTAAGCGTTAACTTTAAGAGTGATTGTCAAGGGAGGATAGATTTGTAATCTGGAGAGGTGAAGGCAAACAAATTTTGCTTTGAAATAGTTTATAGAAAGGAGGAGTCTTCAAAGTGAGCAGCTGAGAAAGAGGAAAAGTTCTCCCACTTATCAGGCAAATAGCTAGTAAATGTGCTCAGTTATCTGAAATTGTGTTGTAAGTGGTCTGTATTGTTTAAAAAAATGCATCCTTATATTAATACTATATTTATAACAAAAAGGTTCGTTTTCTTAGGGTTTTTTAGTCTTTTAAAAATTAACTAATAGACACTTGCTAGCTCTGAAATACATTTGTTTCTTAAATGAAAGAAAAATTCCTATTTCTTATGAGTCACAGCCTAAAAGGCACTAGCTGTTTACATATTTCTTCTCCACTGTTGATTTCTGGACAACGGAGCTTTTTAGAGTTGGCGTAGAAATATTCCTCATTTAGCATGGAAGAATAACAAGACAACTTACACAAAAGTCACTGATATTATTCAAGATAGTTGGAGGTTTTATATTGGTATAACGTTACTCCTAGCCACCTTTTGTCTTAAGCAATTGATCATACAATTCATAAAGAACTCTTTTCATATCCTGAATGGATAATTTAGAATTTTTAGGAAAGAATAAACAGAATAGAAATGGCTAATGGGGTAAATTTGGTAAGCGGTCTACAAAGTTGCAACTTGGAGCAGGCTTGTATTATCTAGACTATTATAGCGATTTCAATGTGTGGATCCCAAACAGTTGTGAAAGGTGCAAATCCTTTCAAAACTGATAGACTCTCTGTGTGCAGAATATAGAAATCGGTCATTTTCCAGGTAACATGCAGAAATACTCTATAAACTTCTACTTACCTTTTTTATGTAAGAAAAAATTGTTTTCTCTCTTACTGAATGTTTAGTCTTGAGGAGTATAGCAAGCTGCAAAGAGAATTTCGGCTGAAAAGACAAAAACCAACAAAAAAATAATTATGCTTCACAAAGTGATTTGAAGCCAGAAGGTGGATGTTACACCAGAGTCCAACAACATGTATATTTTCAGATTAGAAGATTTCTTCAGATGGCTACTTAAAACTTCTAGAACTTCTTTATTGGTTGGACAAAAACACAGAGAGTTGCTGTAGGTCGAAGAAAATAATATCTTTGAAAGAAAAGGAAAACAGTACAATTTTTTTCCTGATTTTTTTCCCAGTTGCAAAAGACAGCACACATCTTTCTAAATACTCTTCCATCAGTCAGAAGCAGACCCAGACCACCTTTCCCCTGCTACATATCCAGAATTTAAAAAAAGCCTTCTGGGAGCTGCCAGCATGAACAGTATCTTTTGAGGGTCTTTATGTATCTTGACCTCAGAAGGCACAGGATTCCATTTCACAGGCAATTTGTTTCAGGCTTGAGAGAGAGACTGAAATTCTGGGACCTTGAACCAGTTAGATGTCTGAATGAAGTCCTTAATGTGATGGCTTAAGTTTCCCTTACACAGGAAAAAAATCTGAGGGGTTGAAATCCAGTAAGGGGGAATTCCTTGCCTTATCAGAATTACACTTCTGCATTCAGCTGCCTGTAAACCCTCAAACCTTTTGTACTAGTTCATTTACTTTGGGAATCTGTTTCTTAGTCAGCAAGGGAGTATTGGTATGGCTCTGCCACTTCGGAACTGCTACCTTTCACAGTTGCATAATGATCATCTGTTGTGGGAAGCTGGCTGCCTGCAGCTTAGCAGGATTTTTAAGAGCTGCTGTCCTTCTGAATGATACAAATGTGAACTTTCAGTTACAAGATCTTAACTTTTTCTAGTGTGAATCTTTGCTAATTGCAATCTGATGTTACAGGAAGGATGATAACTCCTGTTTTAACACTGACTCTTGGGGATGCTTTATTCCTGTTTTCAGGTAGACTCTAAAGAGACACTGATGACATATTTTCACTGTAAATATACTGTTTACTAGGAGTGGGACATAATTAGATGATCACTTTTCAGGTTAAATATAGTGTCTGTGTCTAATTTTGTTTGTATGTCCTGCACATACACATGCACAGTTCTGCACGTATTGAAAACCTAGGAAGTGTTGGTGCTGGGCTGTAATAGGAAACTTTCTGTTAATTTAAATTTGAAAATAGCATATATTGTTGTGCTATTGTTGGAATTAAATTTAATTTTTGATTCTATATGTTTTCATTGTGGGAGATTAAAAATAACTTAATTAGCAAATACAATTAATAATGTCTAGAGCACAACAATCAGAAGTAAACATTGTGGGAAATGAGAGCAGTTAAAAATTCCAGCTACATGGATGCAGGAATCGGGTTAATTGTTTTGCAGGATTTCTCAAAGCTATTGAAATAGTACACTGGTTTTTGAGTTCTCCAGATGTCTTGCCAAAACCATATAAAATATTTATTTAACAGGAAAAAAAGACAGTATAATCCTTTCTAGTCCCCCTATGATACTACTTTAACTTAAAAAAATTGTGTATACTTACAGGAATTTTTTTATTTCTTTGCCAGGCTTGATGATACTGTCAAAATGGATTCATTATCCATTGTAAAGTACTTCTTACCTTATTTAGGAAGCAGTGATACTTTTTAAAGTTTCTTTACACAAAAATAACAAATTCTTAGCAACATGTAGCTTATCTTGAAATGTTTAAATTTCTTTGTTGAAATTAGGTCTTAGTACAACTTTAGGTGTTGACTTTACTGTGTATTTAGGAGTAGTTTTTGCCTTTATCTTACAGTGAAAACCTTGGTATTATGGCAGGTGTTCCTATAGCAATGTCATGTTTGGAGGATGCCCATTAATGAGATACAGAAGAAGGGCTGTTTGCAGTGCTTGAAGGGAAAATATCTTCCAGTTGTTGGGAATGAGCAGCAGTTGGTTACAGCCATTGTTAAATATCTTGGAAAGATACATGATACATTCTCTATCCTGAAAATTATCACTGGACAAACAGATAAGTTAATACAATGTTGGGGAGTTTTTAATACACTTAAAATACAGTATTTATCACAGAATAATGAGTTTAGTACAAGAGACACAGGGAAAAAAATAATGCTTTATTCTAAATTGTTTTCTCTCAACTTTATATTTTAGCAAGTTATGAACAGAAGTAGAGTTAAGTATGAATTCAAGTACTACTGTCAAGCTTTTGAAATCCAAAAGAGGCAGAGCTTCAGCCTGAAGGTTGTTTTCAGTCTTTGCCCTTGGAACAAAAATAATCCAATTTTGTGAACATAATAGTGATAATGGGTGTCAAATGGCTTTTGCTCAGGACTGGGTAACATGATTTTGGAGTAGCTAAGCCTTAAGGAGCTTGATAGATCTTTCTTTTAGTATGAACTTTTTGCATGGAATTTTTGTATCTTGAAATACCAGGCTTTTTCAAAAAACCTTACCATTTTCTTCTAACAGTAGTGGTTTGGGTTTTGGTTAATGCTTTAAACTTCTATAGCCTTGGCTTCAGTTAACATCTCACTGTAGAATTGACTTAAGTAAGAATGAGGCCTAATACACTTTTCAGTTCTGGGGCTTTTT